TTACAGCAAGCATCTACTTTGAAGCTTTGGCTCCGTAACGACCACAGAATCCCAGCATTGCTGAGGTTGGTAGGGAGCTCTGGACATTGCCCACTCCAAAGCCCTCTCTCAAAGCAGGGTCACCTACAAGAGGTGCACAGGACCTGTTGGCTTTTTCTTCTCTGCTTCTTCCCATTAGATATTTACGCACTTTGATAAGACGCCCCCTGGAGCCTTCTTTTCTCCAGGCTAAATAGAGAATATCTAAAGATATCTAGTTCGCTTTAGAAGTTAATGTTAAAAAAATATCTTACAGATTACGTAAAGATCTACAACACCACCCATGACCCTTGTTGTAAAGTTGGTTGTATAGATACGGTAATAAAATATTTCATAGACAAAACTGAAGGAATACTTTAGTCTTCAACCTTTTGCAAAGTACACAGAGAATACTCTCTGAGTAGGTATCCCTGGATACCTACTAATGGGATTTTATACATCTTGTGGGGCTGCTAGCAAAAGCTTGTTAAGTGATGATCCAGCATCAGTTGCCTTCAATTTGACTTCAGTTCTAGTTAGTGAAGTGTTAGTTCATTTCAGGACTAGTTGCTGTAAAAATACTGTTTTCTTTAAAGGAGAGGCAGTTGGGCAGCCTTGGGAGGCAGCTGCTCTGGACTCCTCAGCAGTGAGCACTTGCTTTGGAGTCACTGTTCCTTCGACTTCACCTTGGTATGCTTTTTATTTAATGTCAAGGATCCATACAAATTTAATCTAGAGTCTAAGGGACTCTTAGGATCCAGGTTCTGAAGACAGGCTCTAAGTCCTGGTTTGAGCAGAGGTTCCCATGGCCATCAGACCTGTAAGGCCCTCAGCAGCCTGCCAGGAACCCTGCGGACTCTTGCAGAAGTGGATCAAATTCCAGTCGCTTTCATGTAAGCAGATTCCTGATTCAAACATTTCGGATTCCCTATTTTGATGCTCTTTAATTCGTCTTGTAAAACTGAAATCATAGAATCCTAGAATCATAGATTCTATTCTAAATCAACCTGTGTATCAAAAGATGAGCACCCATAACATTTGCTGAGACTGCAGCAGTGATGACAAGTCACAGAAGGTGCCATACAGCCTGCTTCAGCTAGAACAGCTCTTGAAATGAGGATGCTATTTAGATGTCCAAAATGAGTAACAAAATGAGTAACCTCAAATATGCAAGTTCAAAAGCAATTGCCATAGTGCACATTTGAGACACATCTGTGGCTATGTTTCAAAAAAAAAATGTAAGTAAAAAATGTATGTAAATGCAGCACAGACTGTGTGTGCATGTTCACAGTGCAGACACACACTCTTCAAAGCGCAGGCTCTCCGTTGCAAACTAGAACGGCCTTTCTTGGTCCTCTACTACATGAAATATTTTCATAGAACAGTCTTACAGACTGACAGACCAAAGCTGAACAAATTCCCTGTTTTGCTCCTAAGATGACCTTTGTGGAGCTGCATTCTGTTCCACTGTCCAGGGAGGTACAATAGCGGCTCATCTGTACTAATCTTCAGTGACTATAAACTGCTAAAGCGATTAACGGGAAGAGACAGTTCTTTCACCACATGTATAGAGTCATTGTGTGTTGGGCCAGATCTGCATATTTCATGACAACATTATATTCTACTGATTTTTACTTATGCATTTGTTCATAGTAAAACGGTTGGGAAAGAACTAGTGCCTATAATCTCTTGTACAATCTCTGTTTTCCTCTTTTATTTTTAACCTACCAATTAACCAACTATATTGAAACTCCTCTTATATTATACAGTTCTACCAAAATTTTCCAACTAGTTTAAAATCCCTTTTTATAGTTTGTGTTTTGATACCACAGTAATATATCTCTTTTAAATATTTTTAAACATTTTATTATTACTTCTCTTAAACATATGTATAGACTTGCACAGTTTTCATTTCTGAGGAGTTTCTATTCCTTGATGTGAAGTATGAAAGTATGAATATGAAAGTATTCATGAATATGAAAGTATTATATAATTATAGTATCCATATATTCACCATCAACTCTGATTTAATTCTAGAGTACTCTTTTACTTATCAAGGTCATATCTCGATGGCTGCACAAGCTTAGATAAGTCAGGTGTTAAGCAGGCATATCTCCAAGGAACCTGGAAATTCTCTCATCTGTAATCCTCAGCATATCTTATTATTTACTGCCAAAGAAATGACTGATTAATTTTGTCATCTTTGCTCTGTGATTTTTGCTCAGCTGAAAGTGCCTGCCCTCTTCTGCAATGCCTGATCAGACCTATTTAAGTTGATGCCTTTGATCGCAGACACTGAGGAGCTTGCTGACTTAGGCTTTGACTAAACATTCCTCCACTGCAATATTTATGCACAAAAACCTAAATGATTACTGACAGTCAATGTAGATAACAAAAACTTGTAAGATGTTTCCACTATTTTACTGGGGCTCAAAATAGCTTCTCTTGCGCTAGAGGTACCAGTCAAGATGAAAGATTGCTATTAATATAACAAAAGCTCAACAAATTTTGCTGTGATGAACAGTTTATTTCTCACACATGAAATATCTGAGGTCAGGAAAAAATCTGTTACCGGAAAACTATGGAGTATAATTAAAAAAAATGCTTGAAATTCTTTCTGTACTGTGATACCATGCTTTGCTTTGGAACCTAGTGGCATTTTACTATCAAACTGTTCCAAACAAAATTATCAAAACAAAGCTAATAAAAAAATACAATGAAAGTTAAGCCCTGTGGAAAAAAAATCTGCCTCCAGCTCTTTATTAATCACATTCCAACACCAGAGGCTAAAAGTACATCAAACTGCACCAAATCCTTTTCACATGACAACCTCATAAATTATTCAACTCATTAGTAACACCAAGAGGCATAAAAATAACATCAATGTTAAGGATGTTTTTTTACAGAAAAAGGTCAACTAAAAGTTTCAGTATTAAAATCCAAAGGCTTAAGCCTCTGAAGAGTAAGTACATCTAGATAGTACCCACAAATTAAAACCTTAATGTGTGCTGGTTTAAAATTCCATGTGCGAATTTACATATATATATATACACACACATATATATATATGTATATATACATGAAAAAATTATACTCAGTATTATTTATTTTAATGCTTCAAACACAGGAACTTTAATCACTGTAATTTCTAATTCAGTCTACAAGGTTGATGCACACCACCTCTATCCTCTGAGCTTTAAAATCTGAGCTTCAATTTTCCTGTATACCTCATGCACTAACAGGTGAGTACTATGAAATTATATGGAACAAATATGAAACTACAATTACTGTAGTTTTTCATTTCTTTTGGTTATAGCCTTGCCTTGCAGGTTAGCTTTACTGCAGGGGAGCTGTTGTCTGAACAAAAATACTAGATAGTAGAGCACAAAGCACTACATTAACAGATACAATCTGTAAAACTGAATCTGTCCAAGTGCAGCTTGTATAATAATTGCCATAAAAAGACAAAACCATTTCCAGCATCTTCTAAGCACAACCTTATCCCAAAGACAACAAGCATTCCTACTATGCAGGTATGAAACAAAGTCCACCAAAGCAAACAGAAAGCTCCTGTAATTTTAAGAGTAGATATTATTGGCCCTTAAAACTTGGTGACAGTTTGCAAATGACATTTCTTCCTGTTTTAATGATGTTTTAAAATGAAAATTAACATATTAAGGACTCTTAAGCTGGTATAATGCTGAAAGTCCACCACTGTGATAAATATTTGCCTTGCAGAGGAGTAATTAGCACAGTTTTGCATCTGTCTCTGGCAAGATATGTGTTTTAATGTTTTGGAAGAATGTGGATAAAATATACCTCCACCATTTCATCAAATGCACAATACACCAGTGGGGAACAGGTTATGACCTGAAGCTCCGCACACGAGAGCCTTCACGTGTTAATAAATACTAAATAACGCCTGTTGCTAGAGCTGCACATGTAGACATTCATTTTGCTTCAAGCCCAGCTATTTTCTTCATCAGTCGGCAAAGTTAGTGAAACGTGTAACTTACTTACATGGACCGGGCTTTGTACCTGTCATATTGAGAACGTGCAGTACTGTTAGTCCTTGGCTATATGACAGCTAAAAGATTTACCTCCCTTTCTGTCAGCTTGCTTTCCCTCAGTTATGTGGTTCCTAAACCTGAGCATGACTCGAAATTTTACTCCTTCATAAATACTACGGAATATCAGGAGTACAACTTTTTTCCTCCAAGATTACAGATTAAAAAACAAGTGATCAGGAAAATATCTTAATATTTTAAAAGAATCCCTGTCTTTCATATGGAAACTGCCCTCACTCAGACCTGAGAAATAAAATTGTTTTAGGTTCTTCAAGTCCTCAGGTTCAGACTGCTGCTCAGAGGTCACTAAGACCCATGAAACTTTCAGGAGATAGAAGTGAATTCGCAAGCTTATTCCTCCTCCTCCTTTATATCCCAGCCATCTCTCCAAGAAATCCAAATGTCTTCTAATCCTTAAACTCCTAGAATGAAGTTCCCATGTGGTCAATACACTATTTGATTCACAAAAATAGCTCTAAGCATCTAAAATATATAATTTTAAACAAGTACTTCTATATTTCCCCATTTGCAGAATAAGTACTTTGGGGTGAGATTACATATGTCAAGATAAAGTATCTGATAAAAAATAACCCCCCCCCCCCAAAAAAAAAAAAAACAGTTAATTCCTTTCTCTCACTCAAATTTGGTTACTTTTACCAGTGTCTCAAAATTAGTGCCTGGGAATGCTAGAGAAGTATAATGTGAATCTCTTGGGGATTAGAGAATTTATCAGCACACAAACTCAAGTCTTCTGGTTCATTAAAGTATGAAGATCGAAAGAATTCCCATTATAACAATACGTTCTAGAAATTCTCAGCATTGTCCTGAGGAAATAAGTGATACAATTCTCAGACATCCACGGGCAAGAAGAACACACCATTATGCACACATTCTTAAGCAGGAGTTGGTACTGACCATATTCCACAGCAGCTTTTAGGAGGGCATCAGCATGAGTGGACCCAAAAGCGTTGCGAACGAACCGCCTCCGCCGGCGCAAATCATCTTCCCAGTAATCCAAGCGCCAGAAGTCATGCAGTTGGCTAAGAAATAAAGAACACACACATCAGCACCCACCATGGCTTGCATTGTGTTTACATATATTATAGCATAATTTCACTGCTGCTTTTCTCTTTCAGGAATACAATCTTGTAAAAACACATATTACTAAAACATGCAATATTCTAACATTTCTCTACATGCATTTATACATTACAAAGCTCAGCACTGCCTGTCTCAAAATGTTCTGCCTGCTGCTAAAAACATTAATCACACTGAGCCCATTAACAAATGCAGCATCAAATTACAAGTATTAATGGCACAGCTTGCTTTCTTTTACAGTGTTTTTAACAAGGCTTGTAAATCATAGAATGGACCTCAGTGCAAATAGTTTGCAATTTAATGACTATGGTCCCCTAGCAGACTGAACTTAGAAGTATAAAATATTGCCCACTTGAATTTTGTGGAACTATGATTAAACTAATGTGCTGAAATATTCATTGAAATAATTCCCCACTGCCCCTAGCAACCTGAGAAAATTGCAATTTTATTCATTATTAATAACACTGAATTAGAGCAGCAAAAAAATTCCACCATGTGGTAATTGTCCTGGTAAATTATTATTCCAGCACTAACAGAGTACTAGGATGATTTTATAGCTTCCAGCTAGTACAAGGCATTAATGACCATGGCCATCTTCATGTTGCATTGCCTTTTTACATTCAAAAGCAATACTGGAGTTCTACAGAATGATATAAGCCATTGTTAATCTATCTTCAACTCAAAACACACATATGCAATCATTTGGGATCCAATCCAACTTCACTTCTAAAGAAATGGCCGTTTCCATTTTTACCTACTTTTTGACCCTATTATCACAAACGTCTCCCAAGCCAATTTTATACGTACGCTGTGGGATATTCAGGCAAAACTATAATTTAAGCCATCATTTTAAAAACTTTCTGGACCACTATCAAACTCCCAAAACATGGGTGCACACGTATCATCCAACCTGTAAGTGGAAACACGCAATATGATTCTACAGTCATTCAACATGACCTTGCAGACCATAACTAGGTAACCACTGCTGTAAACCAGGGATTTTCGTTTTATCTGCAGAACTCTAGGCATCAGCTGAAGAAGGCAGCTCAAGAAGATCAGTCCTCAACTCACTAGTATGAGCCACATCTCTGCTCCATGTTTTTCAGTTAATGCTTGTTATACCAGTGTTTTCTCTGTTGCCTTCATTTCGAAGAGCTTTGCATTGGTAGGCATTTCCAGGGGAAATGCAGAAATATGCTAGTACACACTAGGCCTTTTCATTATTTATAGCCCATTTAACTACTTTTTTTTCATGCTTGCACGAGTTCTGGTCCAGCTTTACTAAGGGTTGCCCCGGGCCCTGGATGAGCTCTTGAGGGCACAGCACTAGAGGAAGGTGGGTACCTTCTAGCTGCTTACAAGTTTTCCAAAGCAGTGCACCTTCAATTTTTAGCCAAATGTTTTAACTCTGAATGACATTTTCATTATGTGCTCCTTGAGTCTAGGAGCTGAAGGACCTACTCCAGATTGCAGAAGAAGCACTGCTTTACTCATCTTCCAGCAGTGAAGAGGCATCCTCGGGGTTTTAGTGGGGGCTGCTTTCTCACCAAGAGCAACTCATAGCATCTTGCATGCAGGTGAGGCAGTGCCTCTGAGCTCCCACGGGATGAAGATGCATCACTAATGACCCAGTCTGCATGCTGTGAGACAGAAATATCTTGCTATGCTGAGTACCAATTATTTTTCGCTAGGTAAAACAGTCCCTTCTGTACTTGTATCACCATACCATATTCGCTCACAGACGTCGTGTTAGACTGATGTATCAGATCAACATTTCTTCTCCTGCACTGAGCTTTGAGCAACACTACTACAAATGCTAAATTTCCTTGACTCTTATGTGATATGAAAAAAAAAAAAAACTGGCAGACAGCTGCTCTCTGGTTTAAAGTAAAAGCTGCTTGCGCAGTCCAAGTCTATATGTTCTAAAAAGATGGCAAGGAAGATAATTGTAAAGGTTTTTCTTTTTTTTCACAGGGATTTCTTTTGAAAGACAAGTGATTCCCTCTTTGGTTCCATCTCGAAGAATAAGTCATGACGAAACAAAGAGTAACATAACGAAAACTCTTCTAAAGACATGCTCGTTGTGAAACTGTGTTAGCTTCCACAAGAGACTGTTCAGCTGAGAAGATTATAATACTTTACAAATACTTAAATTCTAATCCTGTTATTCTTCAGGAGGCTTTAAGATATTTAAGGATTCTAGGTAGACTCTAGGTATCTCTAAACAGTGCCAGCAGAACTACACTTTCTAAGACTGCACTAGACAAAAGTCAATCCCAGATGAGAAAACATCTGCAAATCGTCCACATTCTGTCCTGCTACAACTAATTTTTTTCCTAGAAGTAACTTGATTTAATCAAGTCCCTTTAGTAACTTATTTCTGTGACAAGTGCAATATTTTAACAGGCTTTATTTTTATGAATTACATATTACTAATAACCCTATTTTCATAGCCAACTAGAGTAGATGTAATTTCTCATTTCTCCACATTTTGACATTTTGAATAGAGCTTGTTTTAATGAAACTTTCCCTAGATAGGCATACTGTAACAAAATCATTTTTGGAAGAACCAGAAGTTCATAGCACCCATTCATGAGCTACTTGCATACTTCAAAGCAGTTATATGCTTGTATCCCTTTAACTGAACAGTTATTTAAAATACGCTCTAAAACAGCTAACTCAAAGAAATCTGCTTGGTGAGCGGCGTATCACTGATATGGAGAAAGTTTTTGTGGTCTAAATAGAAGATCAAACTAGGCACAACATTCTCTTAAACCAAGACCTAATCCAGGGTAACTCTCCTCCATTCCGTGAGGGCTGAGAAATGTGAGGAAGGAGCACAAGTCTGAAGATAGCAGAGATTAGTTCACGGTGTTTAAGGAAAAAGACCATCTCCAAAGCCCAGAAGTGCAGGCTGGAGCAGCAAGTACTGAGGTAGAAGCTGCAGCAAGTTATCCAGAAGATAATTGATGAAGGTGGCTACACTAAACAACACATTTTCAATGCAGGCAAAACAGCTTTATATAGGAAGAAGATGTCATCTAGGATTTGCATAGCTAGAGAGCAGAAGTGGATGCCTGGTGTCAAAGCTTCAGACCGACTTCCTTGTTAGGGGCTAACGCAGCTGGTGACTTTAAGTTGGAGCCAATGCTCATTTACCATTCTGAAAGTCCTGCGACCCTTAAGAATTATGCTAAACCTACTCTGCCTGTGCTCTATAAATGGAACTACAAAGCCTGGATGACAGCACATCTGTTTACAACATGGTTTACTGAATATTTTAAGACCACTGTTGAGACCTACTGCTCAGAAGAAAAGATTCCTTTCAAAATATTACTGCTCAGTGACAATGCACCTGCTCAACAAAGGGCTCTGATGGAGATGGACAATGAGATTAATGTTGTTTTTATGCCTGCTAACACAACATCCATTCTGTAGCCCACGGATCAAGGAGTAATTTTGACTTACAAGTTTTATTATTTAAGAAAAACATTTCATGAGGCTATAGCTGCCATAGATTCCTCGGATGGATCTGGGAGTAAACTGGAAACCTTCCTGAAAGGATTCACCATTACAGATGCCATTAAGAACATTTGTGATTCATGGGAGGATGTCAAAATATCAATATTAACAGGAGTTTGGAGGAAGTTGATTCCAATCCTCATGGATAGCTATGAGGGGTTCAAGACTTCTTCATTGGAGGAAGTAGCTGCAGATGTGGAAGAAATAGCAAGAGAACTAGAATTCGAAGTGGAGCCTGAAGATGCAACTGAGCTGTTGCTAGATCTTTAATGGATGAGGAGTTGCTTCCTATGGTTGAGCAAAGAAAGTGTTTTCTTGAGATATAATCTACTCCTGGTGAAGATGCTGTGAACACAGCTGAAATGATGACCAAGGTTTTAGAATATTTTTAGAAAGTTAGTTGATAAAGCAGTGGCATGGTTCAAGAGGAACGACTCCAGTTTTGAAAGAAGTTCTACTATAAAACTCTAATGCAGTAAAATGCATTAGTGCACAGAGCACTTCTTCCTTTGTGAAAGGAAGAGTTAAATCGATGCAGCAAATTTCACTGCTGTCTTATTTTAAGAAATTCCACAGCCACCCCAGGCTTCAGCAACCACCACCCTGGGCAGTCAGCAGCCATCAACATCAAGGCAAGATCCTCCATCAGCAAGAACATTGTGACTCACTCAAGGCTCTGATGACGGTTAGCACTTTTTAGCAACAAAGTATTTTTAATTAAGGTATTTATATTGCTTTTTTACATATTATGCTATTGCATACTTAATAGACCATGGTATATCGTAAAGAAAACTTTTACATGCATTGGGAAACAAACAAACAAACAAACAAAAACGCGTGATTCACTTTACTGCAGTGCTATTGGGAAACAAACAAACAAACAAAAATGCGTGATTCACTTTACTGCAGTGCTTTGGAACCGAACCCGCAATATCTCTGAGTTACACCTGACCACAGAAACACAGAATGGTTGAGGTCAGAAGGGACCTCTAGAGATCATCTAGTCTAAACCTTCACAATAATTCAAGAATAAAGGAAGTCTGATACAGAACCATGATTTTACAATGAACATTTTACTTGGACGGGTGTGCATGTTGTAAACTTAATCCAATATTTCAAATCTGCCTGGAATAATATGATGGAAAAGTCCTATTTCAATGCATATACTGAAGGATTTTGTCTTCTGTTTCACCACCACTGCTACCATTCATCTCCATTTAGCAGCTCACCGTGTACTTCTTCCTACTCTAAACTGCATTTCATCTTGCTAAAGGTCAGCATGGGATGGAAAGGCAAAGTGGTTTTATGCTACCCCAGACAGCCAATGCAGTCTTTGATACAACTCACAGCAAACGGCTTTGAGGTCTCCCAAGGGCAGCTTGCTCTAAAAGTCAGAGCTTCCCATAATTCTGTGCAGTAC